GGCTATAAAAGTGATTGGTTCAATAGATTGTGTCCTAATACGACCGTTCCAGGTTTTGAAGAAGACGGAACTGTCAAAACGTTAGCTACTGTAAATAGATATTATAACGGCAACCTCGTCACCAAAGATAACGAATAGATAGTGGTAACATGCCAAATGTGAATGACATTCCTTCTCCAAGGTCTCGTTTCTGATTCGGAGATTGCCGTTGTTTTCAAGTGAAGCACTAAGTTGCGATTGAAGTTCGCTAATACTGGTCTCCTAAACAGATACTGCAGCAATTATATCGTTTCTGGAATAAAACTGTAAGACGTTGACGAGTCAGGTAGCCATTAAGTCACATTCCTGAATAAATTACCCACGAGATAAAAGTGTTTGAATTTTTCAACTAAAGGAAAAATGAATTAGGACGAAAATCCATGTAAGGGAAACTGCATTCTCAGAATAATGGAAAACTTAAGTTCATTTAAGTGAATGTCGTAATCTTTTCTACCTAGTATTAAGCTATAAAGGATAAAGGATAAAGCTCTCGGCGTTGATCAATCCTTGGGGGATGCGCCATGCATTCGACTTCAATTAAACATCGTTAGAGGTGCATATCTGGCCTTTACAATGACTCGCGGTGCCTAACCGATTTATCGAGCCAGTGTTGCTATCCACCCAAACAGGTCTGCTACCAATTTACCGACTCCGGCGGAGAGAAGGAAGGCTTGGTGGGCCAAATGTCAGGGATCGATCTCATGTGTGTGTTGCATAGCGCCTCCAACAACTGCGCTACAAGCGCCCAGTGTTAAGCTATACGAAAAATAATGTTATTTTTTCAATGCTCCAATAACTTTTTCTTAAATAACGCTGCTAGCGCATTCATCCTCGCTTTGTGAATGTTTTACTTTCTGTTGGATTTAGACCATACCAGCAAAAAATGCAAAACCCCCGCAAATTCCATCGATTTTCTTTGCAAACTCAACCTAGGCCATAAGACAGTAGAAACGCTTGCAGCATTAACATCAGATTCGACCAGAAAGGCGATGACAACCTTGAAGATGGGCGCATTTTCGCCGTGAAATTTACGAAACTACCCAAGAAGGGCACGTGACGACCCGCCGACATCGGGAACACTCTCGATCACTTAGAGTGTCTTCTTTGCCAATCTGGACAACTTAAAATTGTGCGCTAATTTTGTGCCAATAAGACTCGCGTGGTAAAGAACGATAGGATACAAGCAACCAGCTCATTATCGTGTCGCAATTCATTTAAAGGAGCAAACCGGCCTCCAACATTCCCACTTAGAAGCTAACGTTGTGGGCCTATCTAGCAACTACAGCGCATAGATCAATTGTTTTTCATTTATTTTTATTTTACATGATCCGCTATCACATCTGCTGATCCCAGCATTTCTTGCGTTCGATTCGATTTCCTCGCACTCACCGTCCACAATGGTTTTTGAACAGTTCACGTGTTGTTTCAGCTGCTGCTTGAAGCTTTCATCTACCTTATAACAGTCGTAGAATGCTGGTCGAGCCAGTTTTCGTTGAAATTTTGAGGGCAGCCCAGCCAAGGCGTTCCTACGTGCATTGGAGTGTTGGGAGTGGACCGAACCAACGCCTTTGCTTTCTGATCGACAGCATCACTAACCACTGGGCTATGCTCGCCCCACATATTCCCTATATATTATACCAGACAAACCCACCTAAGAGAATTGGCCAGACATACGAGGACAAACCAACACTACATCTCTGCACTATCTATCTGAAATCCCTCCAATTATTCCACCACTAAATTACTATGAAGAGTGTCGTATCGGTTATTACACTATTTGGCGCACCAGTAGCAGCCAGCACAGATCACATGAAAATGTTAACTTTAGCAAATTCAAAGACAGCACTTCCGGAGCATACAGAAGAACTTGACGTGTATGACCTACAGTGTATGAACACAGTTGAACATGAAGGCGAGAGCGCTCTCGATAAATGGATGAAGCACAACTCAAACGATGGGCTCCGATAGGAAATCTGGTATTAATCAGACCAACAGAAATGACCCGTCTAATAAGCATATTTTAGGAACGAAAGCTCATTCGATAAAAACCTTCTCAGAGAGGTTAAGATAAGTGTTTTTTGCACAGTAAATAGAATCATACACTATAACTTTATAATTCCCAGAATTTCAACGTACACCATCAGCAATTTATTAACGCTGCAAACGAAAATGCATTGAAAAAATTCATTGGCTTAAAAAATTGAAAGATCTTTTCATGATAAAATGACCCACGGAGGACATGAACGGCGCAGGTTTTGCAGATAGTTCCTATTTCGACTAAAAAGGGTTTAGAATAAACTTATAAACATGGGTTTGAAATTCCAGCTCACAGACAATGTTTCTTGCAAAAACATCAAGAGAACAAGAGATAGTTAACAAGACAAATAAGGAAAAAGCATAAAAAAAATCAAAACGCCTAGTAATTCCTCATCTCCGCTTAGATAAACTAACTGTAGCTCAAAAGAAAAGATCACATTCTAGACACCCTCAACTGTTAAACGTAAGTAGTTCTCAACGTAGATAGCGAGCTATGATGGCTAATTGCTTTTTCACAAAGGTAACTTCACTCTTGAAATGCCATCAAACAGGTTAACGTATAAGATCATAGGTGGATTAGAACTGAACCAAAACGAAGGTCTTTGAATGCTCAATTTCAAATTGCAAAAAGGATTTAAACACTGCAGAAAAGCATGCGACGCTAAGTGGAAGAAACTTACCAACTTGTTCACGCCTCCAAGGTCCGTCAGAAGCCGCTCGTTTTCATTTTGCACCGCTAGAAATTCACAATATAGTTGCTATCAATATATCATGACGAAATGTGTCCAGTCAAGGAACAACCTTGAAGTCGATCCTCGAGATCGAGTTTCTCGGAACGTATACTCTCAAGTGATTGCTCCAAGCGACATTTCTGAGTGAAACAATCACTTCTACACGGTCGAGAACAAAACCTTGCAGTCTAATTGCTTACTTCGTCGTTGCAAAGCGAAAGCTTAGCACTGAGGAGTTCCGTTCGCTGTTGCAGTTCATTCATACCTTCCAAAAGCGAGCATTTTTCTGTTCGGAGATCCTCTATGCATGCGTTCAATGATGATTCGCTGAAAGGATTTCAAACATCCCACGTAGCTTTTGCGAAATAAAAAAAAATACTCTGGCAAAACGAACGTTTCGATCAACAACTTCTTCTCTTCTATCCACTGCTTCGATTGATTCCTTTGCTTATCACAGATATCCTTAATAGCCGCTTCTTTCTCCAAGATAATCTGGGACAATCTGTTATTTTCGATCTCCAAACGAAGAAGCTCCCTTTCTTCTACCACGTCTTTATCCTCTACGGCCTGCAGAAGTCTTATAGAACTTCCAACCAGACAATGTTCGATGTGAAAACATATTGAAAAATAAACGCAACTTACTCGTTGAGGTGCTGAATTACCATGCTCTTCCTCTTCAAAAAGAACCGGTGGTTTGAATGTTCGAGGTGTCCGGTCACGATTATCAGGAACAGGTGCGAACATGGTCCGGCGTCGTAATTTTTTCCGTCGCTCAAGGGTTTTCTGGTTTTCATCGAGTGTCTACAAACACAACTATGAGAGTGAGGTATACTTTTCATACCTACAAGACCAGGAGCAAGTTGTGGACCAGCGCTGAAATCTAAACGAAGACCAACTAATGCACAGATGTGGTAAAGATAGAAATCCACAACTGCACAGAACCTTATCACACTCCTCAAATATTTCTAACATTCAATTCGTTCACATCTGCAACATACGAATTTCATAAGGAGAGCTTATGTTATATTAAAAAAAAAACACTAAACGATCTGTAAAGCCTACCGTATTAAGATTAAATCGACGGAGAGGAGTTCCCAAAAATGTCTCGTTACATTCCTCAAGAACATCATTGTACTTTTCGTTGAGCGCCTTCCTAGCTGCTTCTGCAAATTCGTAGCGGTGCCACAACTGACTGAGTTCACTTCGAGCCTATATGAAATATTTACAGCAGTAACATGAAAGACTTTTCGAAACGTACTGCACTATTAGTAGGAAAGTCTAATTCCACAAAGAGAAAAAAAACCACTAACGCTTGCTAAGTCGTTTTCAAGTTGAACTTTCGTGAGATCCTCGAGCGTTTTCACTGAGTCGATTCTTTTCCAGAGTTGTGGCAAAACATCGCGCATCACTTCACAGTGGGACTGAAAGTAAAGGAGTTCTATGCAAATGATAAAGAATGGGATCTCTATCAAGTCTTATAAACCTCAGAACTACACACCATGTAGTTCACTAAAAAATCTTTGAATTAGCATAGAACATCGATTATTGTGATTGCGACAATTATCATAGTAAAATGACCAAAACGAAGATAGCAAGATTATGCTCCATGAAGAGAACAATCAATCTTCGCATGTTCAGGACGACACCTAGTTCTTATTTCTGCACGTCTTCGCATCCCCCAATTACGGCCATGATCAATCTCTTAGTCTTTCTGTCTACAGTACGGGAACAAGCGATACCCTTCAGTACACCTCTCCATGTCTTTAGAGCAATTCCAACACTAGTTGCATGATGAGAAAATGTATCGTCTTTCGTCCAAACACAATGCTACCACACTTAAGTGATAGGTATCTCAACATTTGAGTAAAATTCGGCTTTATATTTTTTGCTTACACCCACAGTTGAGCAGAGCAGCGTAGGGAGAGTATTCCCAAATATATAAAGAACCGTGGCGCACTATTCTCCATCGAGTTGACGTAAAGACACCACTAAGCACTAGAAAACTATATACCAATATTGGGATATTTTGTTAACGTTAACAACACAAAAAACTACACAGGCAAAACCTGCGTGCTATTCTCTTGATTCGTTTTGGTCGCAAGCTCCGCGTGGAGGAGATCACGTTGAATTTGAGCCTTAACGAGCGCCTTCTCTCGTGAAATTGCTGTGTCCTTCCAATTCCTCAACTCACTTTCAATCGCTGACACTTTCGACTTCAGTTCTGGAGGTACGATTGTATAAAGTAAGCTCATAATTTGAGTATACAAATGATATAAGGACACCTGAACGAGTCTTCTCCTCAATAGATCGAAGTTCTTCACGAAGATGAGCAATCTCGGCCTTGTATGCCATTATTGTGCCACCTGCTAAGTCCTCGTTAGCACGGACGCGATTTTCAATCTTCCTGCAAGCCGCCGCAAACTGCAAGGTCGACAGCGTGTCCGAATAGTAGCTATAATGAGTTAATGCAACTTAAGCGAACAGATATCAGAGTCTGTATTAACCTGTTCATCTTGTTGTACTAATAGTTCCGTAAGCAAATTATTAAACCCTCCCGACGGTTTACCGCCACATCGTGGCCGGAAGATGTTCCTAGGTTCGATGTACAGCGGTGGGATTCATCCTCAAGGCAAGGTCTCGTAAGCTGAGAAGAAGTCTGGCGTTTTCATTAGGAATTCCAGCTAAGAGTAAACCATTACCAGGATCCACCACCGTCTTGGTATAAAAGACGCATGGTGGCAAATCTCCCTCTGATCCACGAGAGCGACGACTGCCTGCGGCGACCTGAGGCAGACCACGGCTGTGCTCGTAACTCCAAGGAAACACAATGACTAAACCAGCAAAACTCCGAATAAATGGAAATTATTCTGGGAGCCGTAAAACCAGTGAGGACATGCCGTCCAAGTATCCAAGTAAGTAAGTAATTAATGAACAATCTAAGATTTTTCAATCAGCAGTATTCTTAAACATCAAGACTAAACACAGAGTTTCACTCCTACAAAGAAGTGGATTAACAACCATAGTACCTAACCATTAACAAAGAGCAAAGAGACACCATATTTTTTAATGGAAGCCAGCAACGCTTCATAATGGATCGGACCGTAAGCACCACAATGTATGTTCCGAAACTTACCCTTTTTCAGGATGGACATTCACGATCACGGCTGTCCTGCTATTGCCGCCTAGTGAGTCCCGTAAAATGTGAGTGAGCTTCGAGTCGCGATAGGGTATATGTTCATCACGACGACTCATGTCAGATAACGTTCGTATGACACGACCAAGAACAGTTAATGACTGAAATAAATAATAAGCAACATCCGAATCTGGATCATAACTAAAAAAAACCGCCCACCAAATTAATGCTTATCGCCTCTTTGAATCGATCGCCAAAAACTTTCGATTGGGTCTGCCTCTCGGATCCTGCTAGGTCTACAAGATTTAGGGTAGCACACTTTTTATTCACGATTGTGTTCACCAGTTCCTCGGTCTTCACCTAGAAATGAAAGCATCGGCGAGTAAGATGGCAGCTTCACATTTGAAATCATGACTTAAGCGTTAGTAACTAACATCTACAATGAAGATGCTGTGGGACCGGGACGACTCGCGATTCATCGCCGTCTCCGCTGTACGTCTTGCATCGCAACCAATCTCGAGGATCTGTAAAACGTTGTTGGCATTGTAATGAACTTACCAAAGTTCACACTTGGAAAAACGAACTGAAAACCGACCCGCATCATATCAACACTCGACTGGACTCTGTGTTCGGATACACCAAGTAACTGAACACCCTGCAGGAACATTCGGCATTTTGTCACTATGAAGCAGCAAATAGTTGGTTACCTTCGAGTCACTTCGTATGGACAGCTTCTGTTGAGGAGAACCCAGTAAATCGTAAAACTCCTCGTTGTAGAGTTCGACAAACCGACAAAAGACTTCGTAGGTGAAGTTCTCGCCCCTCTGAAACGAAAAGTGCATGCATATTCAAAACAACCAGTTCTGAGATGTTCCTTACCTCGGCAACTCTGGTACATAATTTCTTAAACAGTGCTTCACATGCGCGAGGCATAAGCCCTCGTTGCTGGCAATCGAGGAGGGAATTCTCCACATTCGGCGGCCCGAACATCGTGTGGGTCTTTCCTGATCCGGTCTGGCCTGAAATGTCTCGAAAGGCTACTACAAGAATGAAAGCTGCTGGCGAAAAGAGTGAATACGAATCAGAAACTTCATGATCGTGAGGAAGTCAAAGAAATTTACCATAAGCGAAAACGGTCCCGTTGTACCCGTCTACGCAACCGTCAATTATACGGCTCGCTAAGTCCTCAAAAATTTGTTCCTAAAATGTCGTGTAGCTCTTAAGGAGACGAAATAACACAACATAGAGGTTTGGATCGCCAACCTGCGTGACATTCTCGCCAAAAACGGAGTCGAACGCGAAGTATTTTGGACTTTTCGGATTGAAACTGAAGAAAAACTCTGGTAGTGGCAATCAAGAGATAGTAGTAATTTAAACGAGTAACTCACCAAAGATTCCTATCATCATGAACATTGACAATTCGTTCCTCCTTGGTCGCAGCTGGACGCACTCGTGCCGTGACTCGGATGAATTCAGCTTCCATCATAATCAAAGCGAAATTCAAACTTCCAAGAAAAGCACGATGACCAGAGTAAGCAAGCACTTGAGAGTAACACGATGACGCACAACGTCTTAGTATTTCTGCGGCCAGTGTGAAAACGAAAATAAACCCTCAACATTAACAAAACATCAATGAGTCACATTTCCCTTTAAATTCTTGGGTCTACTATCTCTCAGCGCCATGTATTCAGCTTCACCAAGCATCATTAGAGGCGATGTACTGGATATATGGCCCACACAAAGACTTGCAGTAGTCTGTGGATGTGTAATTTCAATGCTGCTCTCCTCCCAGATAAGCCTAGTAGCAACTTGCCGACCGCGGAATAAGGGAAGGCATGGGGAACTCGAGATGCAAAGTCCAACCAGCGAGCAAGTGTGTAACGCAGTACGATTCCAACCTCTGGGCTACGAGCGCTTTTAAATTCAGTTGAACATTAAAAAGAAAACACTATGGAAAACGAAATGTGAAAACGTAACCAAACCATGCGATTACACAGGCTTCAACACTCCTCTACCAGAGGGAATTCCCGCGCTTTACATTCCCGCGCCGAGGGTCACGGTCGCATGCCAATGTCCGTAATACGTATTCTTTCCACTTGCAGGGAAACTAGGTTGCAGTGGGTTTTAAACGTACCGGTATTCATTCATTTAGAGAAGTTGCCAGTTTAAGGCTTTGCTACAGTGTACAGTAGTTAACAACGGTTCGCCGTCTCATCGTGGTTAAAAGGTTCTTGGGTGTCGGGCTGCGACGTTCAACGGAGGAATTCACCACTCGTTTCCGTCAGGAAGCCCAGCTAAGAGTAAGCTAATACCAGGATCCACCACCGTCTTGGTACCAGACTAGTGGCATGGTGGTAAATCTCCCTCTGATCCGCAAGGGCGACAACTGCCTGTGGTGGTGACGATCTGGGGCAGACTTTCGCTAGGCTGACCCCGGGACTCCAGGGAACCACAGTGGCTAAGCCATCAAAATTCCCAGAAAATGAAATTTGTGTTGGGATCCGCACAACTAGTCAAAACAGGCTATCCAAGTGTCCAAGTAAGTAAGGAGTGGCTGAAGTAGTAGTTCTATGTGCCAAATGCATAACACAGCACTTTGTTTGACATTATGTTCAATCTGTCGCGTTTCGTCTTACATTCTTGGATAGGCAGAGCCCGTGTTCAGTGATGTCTTGTCGTATGGCAGTAACCTGTAAGACTTCGTGCTTTGCAAGGGTTTGTGGCCACTGCCGATTTTTTATGAGCTTCAATCCTTCATATTCCTAGGAAATGACGTCTCAAAATGAGGTGTTTTACGACTTTAACGTGGCAGAATCTGTTCCCGCCAATACAAAGCAAATGCTGCTCATTCCTGGTTTGTTCTTAGTTTCATTCGTTTGTTTTGCGATCTCTCTTTGATAAGTGAAGGAAAGTTGTTGACACCTGTCATCCCAGGAATCTAACTCTGTTGTTGTGTGGCTTTGTCTTTCTTATTTTTCTTAGTTTTCATAATAATGCAATGTACAAACCAAACCCTTGCTTATCAAAGATTGGTGGCCTAGCCATTTTAATTTTCTGGAGAGTGAGACCACTCGTTTGTTGTTCGCTCAGGACGATGAATAGACCTCACTTAATGTTGACCTTTTATTTCCTGCCTGCTACAATTTTTCACGGCAGGGTATGATGTGGAACAGGGGTCGTGTGAAATAACAAAAGAACTAAAAAGTAAAAATAATTGGTTTTCATCGTTATCCTTGGTATAGTGAAACTCATGATGGCGATGGCGACTTTCCGGCGAAGATAAAGTGTTCTCTTCGAACGCCATCCTGCCCACAGTGTTCCATTAGAAAGATCCCATACCACAGCACTGCTGCTGTCCAGCTGACGACGAGCGTAGTGGTGAAGAAAAGCTTTCTGAAGGAACTAATTGTTTTCAGGTGACCCACTTTTTTTTGAAACTTTTCTTTTCTCTCTTCTTTCTTCTCTTCCTTCTTTTTTTCTCTTTTTTTTTTTGAGAAGTACTGTTTTTGCAAATAACCATCGCTACTGCATTTGGGCGCTTCTAATGCTACTATGTCATTCAGTGTTAACACAGTGGCAAAATGTAGTAGTATTATCGTTGGCAGACTGCTATAATTCTTTGCTGCAGGTGTGCAGGTAGAACCAACGTCCTTTCCATGTACTGCTTCAACCAGTAGTGTAAACACGGCTTGTAGTAGGAAGAGGTGGTGTGCCGTTGATGAAGAGGTTTTGTGTAGAGAAGTAGGAACACACAAGAAGTATAGCCAATAGAACTGCTTTTAATATGTCATTGCTGATACCACTGCTTATTAATTGTTTCTCGTCTCTGAATTTCACTTGGTGTCGATGTTCATTACTCCAGAGCTCTTGGTGGTCGGTGCGTCAGGCGATGCTGTTCCTAGTGACAGTACAAGAGAATTAACCCCAAGCAAATGGTATTCACTATAATTCATTCACGTCATCGATAACAGTATCTTCCGAAGAAATGGGTGAAAATGAGGGCGAATCCTAATTTGTCATAGCATTTTTTGATCTCGATTTTTAAGATTTGCAGGTCTTTTTGTGAATGTGATGTGCTAGCTGGCCAGTGGAATAGAGAGTTGGTCGGATTTGTCTTTTGTCCACCAACTGTAGGCGGAATGCTCGACTTTGTATGAGTTCGCCTCGTGGGACTTGTTTCCCTAACTGCCGTGAACAACCTCGAGTTTGGGTTATAACAGTTTATAGCAATAATAACAGTACAGTGATAACAATATGACTATATGTAGTTAGCTGAACGGGAACAAGCGAGATTGAAGTGGAACACTTGGAGATGGAGCACTGAGAGGCGGAAATACAAGCACTGGTTTGATGATTAATAGTGCTCTTCATATTCTTTTTGCAATGAGTGGGGCTTTCACAGAGGGAGCCAGAGCCAGTGCTCAAGGAGAGGTTCTAAGGGATTTCCGGTTAGTACAATCTGGTGCAGCTACTTGTACCGGAAACTCGTGAAGCCTGTGCAATAAGTCGAACAGAAAGCACATGTGGGAGGGCGAATTTGAAGGTTATAGAGAAGGTTCGTCAGATGGCGAAGGAATAGCTCGCACAAAGGTTTTTACAAAAAGGACACGCCGAAACGGTACAAAGACCCATACACTATTAATGGATAGACTTAAGCTAGATAGATAAATTTAGATAGATTTTGTAGACTCCTTGCGTACATCACATATCATCCAGTGTTTTCGTTTCGAAGTTTTTCTGAAACCGGATATTTTTGTTACTCTGAGAAGTCCACCGATCTCCCTCATATGAGGGATCTCGAGCCGGCTAGTCGCAAGGCTCCCCAGGTGGCGGATAGGGGGTTAATCGCGGACCAAAAGCGATCTTTGCTTCCCTGAGACGCAGGTGGGTCCAGGGGATGGGCTTTCTGTTTCTGCTGCGCTGATTTGGCACATTCTTTCAGTATTTGCTAGGCGTATTCATGCATGCGTGTGTGAATGTGTTCTAGTTTATGCAGATTGTATTCTACGAGTCAAATCGGCCAAAAGTTTGCAATCAAGTGGCTAAGAAGTATATGGGAGGCGGTTAGGAGTCGCCTCCAACAAATAAGTTCCATGTCCACTCTCGGTGAGCCTGGCAAGCCATCCGTGAGTATAGCAAGCCCCAACGTTCAGAGCGCAGCAAGCTATAAGTAGGTATCAAAATGCTAAACACAGTAAAAAAAAAAAAGGGCTTCATTCCCTTGAGCCCAAAAGAGCCCCCAATTTCGCAGCGCTGGGTAGGACGAGTACGGAGTGGCTGCTAAAATCTCAGGGCCAATGGAAGCTGCCTGGATCACGAAGAACTATGGTGACGATCTGTACCTACAGTGCACGTATACTTGCATCCGAGTCCTCGATAGAAGACTTGCTCATGCAAGCAAGAAGGATAGAGTACGATGTCATCGGCCTGGCCGAGACGAGACGACGCCACCCATTCGAAGCCGTCTATGACACCAGAGAAGAACTATTCCAGGGAACAGGCGACAGTAGAGGAGTCGGCGGCGTCGATGTTCTCGTCAACACGAGTTTGTCTATGAACATCGATTCAGTCGAACAGCTTACAACCCGAATCGGACGTTTACGATTAAAAAGATGTGGATCACAACCGGCTTTGCTAATCTTCGTCGTTTACGCGCCGACATCAATCTATGACGAAGAAGAAGTTGAAGCGTTCTCTATGTACTTGGAGAAGTTCTGCAGAGAAGACCATACATTGTTCAAGGTTATCATTGGAGGTTTCAACGCCAAGATTGGACCAAGAAGAACGTTTGGAGAATGTCACATTGGGACCTACGGATTAGAACAGAACGAACAGGGTGAGCGGCTGCCTGAGTTTATCGTGACGACCAAGACCATCCATGGTAACTCGCAAGTCCGGAAGTCCCACACTCAATGCCGGACTTGGTAGTCTCTCAGTTGAGGGTATCATAACGAAATAGACCACATAACAGTAAATCGAATGTTTTTTCTAATTGATGTTGCTATTTTCTAAAATTCTACACGGGATCAAACCACTGTCTCCTTCGTACAGGATTCTATTTCTCGCGGAAAAGAGAAAAAGCCGCGAAATTCAAAATCCGATGTCCCAGCACCACCACAAACTGGGACTTATTCAATTCATTAGTCGGCTGTTGGGAAGATGCCGTTGTCGATAACATCGACGAGGAATACGATCGGCGCATTCAACATCACGTTAGCGCTATGAAAGCTGTGAGTTCGAAAGTCACCCAGAGACGTCTGTGTCCAGAAACATTCGACCTGATAAGCCAGCATGAAATCGCACGAGCTGCAGGCAACCGCGAACTAGCGTCCGAACTTACAAAACAATGCAAACAGGCGATAAAAGAAGATCTTAGAGAGAAGAGCAGCAGTAATGGTCAAAGCTGAGAAAAGCATTCACAAAGTACACCAAAGCTTCGCCATCTACAAAACCGAGAAGATTGCATTACGACGCCCAGACAGAACATTCACAGCGTCCAAAAAAGGCAATGGAGAAAATCATTCACGAATTTTACCCACTTCTCTTCAATAGTCACGTCCTCCTTCTCTCATATGAAATAAAGGGAGATAAATATATCACATCACCGGTTCTCCTTTCCGAAATCCGACATGCTATTTCGTCGGTGAAAAATCGAACAGCACCAGGTCCGGGCTGGATTACTAAAATCCGAACACCTGAAGTGCGTCTTACCGCTCTACGCAAACACACTGGCTCAGCTGTTCACCTGTCTAAAGGAAGGCCCTTGTCAATGGAGGACCAGCAAAACCGTGCTATTGTTCAAAAAGGGTGACTTACACGATGTAGACGACAGACAGCAAGCTTTTCTCCTGAGTCATCCTAAACAGGATTGACAGAACACTGGATGAAGGCCAGCCATGAGAGATTGGGCGATAGTTGCCGACATCGTGTAGGTCACCCTTTTTGAACAATAGCACGGTTTTGCTGGTCCTCCATTGACAAGGGCCTTCCTTTAGACAGGTGAACAGCTGAGCCAGTGTGTTTGCGAAGAGCGGTAAGACGCACTTCAGGTGTTCGGATTTTACTTATCCAGCCCGGACCTGGTGCTGTTCGATTTTTCACCGACGAAATAGCATGTCGGATTTCGGAAAGGAGAACTAATACCATAGTCAACGAGGCACAATTCCTGAAATAACACTGGGAAAAAATTAGATTTTTCTTTGGTAGTTAAAAAAGTAAATAATAATGAAATGAAAATAATAACTTAGATAAAAACAACCGCAAAGATGTTGAGATTTGAGCAAAATTCGGTACTTCAGCTGGATTTGGGACCCCGCGATTCACCCGTTTCACCACTTCGAAGCCCACCTGAGGCTTGAGTTTTTCTCACATCTGGAAGAAAAAAAACAAGGACTTCGCAAAAGTTAAAACATTCTTCGTAAATACTTTCTTTGACAAGATGGTGTCTCCTCCATAACTGTGCCATCTTCTCAAACCCTTTGGAAAACCAACATTGTTTACTATGTAAGGCATATGAAGCTAAGCTTTTCGTTAAGAGTTCAATTTTTTCCAATTTGTTGTGATGAGTCGTTTTTATTGCACGAAATGGATATGTACGAAGAATTATCAAAATACGCTCAACGTTGGTTGCAAAACAGTTCCAAATGCTGAGCGCGATGTGCTTTGAAGAGGAACTGTAGTAAAGTGGGCAGAAATGCATATGTACCTTTTGATTGATGAAACAAAGCCTTTTCTACAATTCTGTGGCCTTCTCAATCCCTGAACTCCTCTGGTTATCGAAATTTTCTGGTCTACTGTCGGGTAAGCAGCACCGTCCTCTCTCTAGTTGCGGCTTCTTAGTCCGGCCGCCAAATTTTACTATTCATGCACCCGGCGTGAAATTAGGCGTCGCTCCACGAGGCAATCAGCAAAATTGAACGCGGAACTTTATAAGTTAACCCTTCTGCGACCAAGCTTCATATTACATGGCAGTCGCACTGGACCACGCGTAATAGTGGCGCGCTCGTAGTACGCATGGAAATCAAACCGTATGGTCAGCGTCGCCCGATCATAACACAGTCACATCGGTTTTTTGTGGTTTTCGTTCCATAATGTGCTACTTCAAAAAGTTCTAGGTTGCTAAATAGAGGTTACGTAAAACGCTTGCAAAATCATCAAAACGTTGGGTATATATGGGTTCAGAATACGCAACTGTCAGAATTCTCCGCACGCTGTTGTATGCTCACACTAAGCCTATTTCTCTTACATAATACAAATACATCCGTTTATGTCTCCTGTGGAAGTTGTCCACTGTAAAGTGAAGGTTTTTCACTTGGTTAAGCATTTACGATTCGGGAAAAGATTGTCGCAAGCTCATGCTAGAATTAAAGGAAATTTTATCACAATTCAATTGGTCTCTCGTTAGTAATGGCGTAGGCAGAGCCTATTAAGCGGTGATCAAAAAAGGTTGGTCTAAAGATTATGGCTGTTTTCAAATTTCCAGAAAACTCCACGTTAACAATTAGTTAGAAGTTTTCTGTGCGATCGTATATGTTCAGCAGAAAATTGCACAAACCTGGTCTCTTGTAGGACATGTGAGTATGAACACATTACCCAAATCGGCAGAGGATCACTTTATGCATGCATGAAAGCACACCTGCACGGGGGATGTAGGGACAAACAAAGTATTTCGATAGGTGCAGACATGATTCAAGACATGACGATGATAACTTCGAAATGAAATTGTGGCGTTGAAATTGAACAACTAGAGACGCTTTAGAGAAGTTCTGGAAGTACAAAAATGGGTTAAAAAGACGAATTTCTCGCCATCATGCCTATCTGGGCGCTGTATCTCCGAATAATTCCCGATTTAACTCAGCTTTGCCTATCATCTTATATGTGCATCTATGGATGGTTTCACTCTTCAAATTGTAGACAACGGAAAACAAGGGATGGTTTTGATAGATTGGCGAAATAATCATCCGTCCATCTAGTAGCTCAGGAAGATAGAACCACCGAATGTAGGATACAGAGAGCCAAAAAGCATGAACGACCTTGTTTCGAAAGATGGACCAGTTGCAATTAACATAGTTCTGGGTCTTCTCGCAAATAATGGGGAATGTTGTTCTGCAAAGAAAGCATCTTATTCACTGAGACTTTTTGAGTTACTGTGGAGGATCTGGAATAACAGCAGGTTTGTATAAGTTTCCTGTTCCTAATTTATGCCTAACGTACCACTATTCTATTTTCACACCACTAGAAATTCAGTTCATTGAAGCAATTCAGCGCTCCTTAATGATTTAGCTTAACCCAAAAGCATAGGACAGCCTCGTGGATGCACTATCTATTTGCTTCCTAACCTCTAACTATTAACATTATTTTAATAGATTGTATAATTTAGAGAATACACTTTTTTAAGAGTTAGAGAATGTTATTTTATCTTTATAAAAGAGCACTGCAGAGTGAGCATGGCTCATTCGCGCGGTGATCACTGAAGAAGATCCCGTCTCGGTACGATAACGAAGGTACCACATCGAGATTACAAACAACTCTAAACCACCGACACGGATCATCGGCTCTGATGAAGACAAAGACGTCGAAACATTAGCTGAAATAAATCTCATTATCAGCCTCATATACGCTCAACAATTTGAAAACATGTTGATTGTTTTATTCCCGAGTTGATGACGGTCGGATCGAAAATTGTTTTGCTATTCGCTTTGTGCAAGGTAAAATAACACCGATTGCTGCAGGGTGGATTATCCGTTAAAAAACAAACCATTATCAACGGATAGTCATGTCAACAACAACCGCTCTGTATAAAAGAGAACTGCTGGATGACCATGGCTCATTCGTGCAGTGTTCATTGGAGGAGATCTCGTCTCGGTGCGACAACGAAGATGCCACATCGAGATCGCGAAGGCGAATACGTCGAAACGTTAGCTAAAATAAATATCTTTATCAACCTCATGTAAGCTCAACAATTTAAAGACATATATTTATTTATATGTTCCTATAAAATGATCTCGTCGAGCTGATGCGAGGTTAGTATAAGCTGCCGTTGTTGTTGTTGTTGTTGTTGTTGTTGTAGATCGATGGCTGACGTTTCGGTGATCTCGCCTTCTTCAAAGTCTAGACGTATTTCTTGCAATAATATCTTAATTTGGAAAATTTTGAAAAGTGAATTTGCAGAGACAGCATGAAAAGCAGAGAGACGCTTGTTTTGAGCATGTTTTCCTTTTTGCGACTCGATAGCAACATTGTCACAGAAACGGAATGTCTAATCGGGAATAAGAAATATGCCGAGAGAGTAAGCCAGCCGTGGTTCAGAGCCCCTTCAGAACCTCAAAGCAAATTCACAGCGAGCAACGAATATCCAGTTGTGTTTATATGATATGGAATTACCTATTTTTCGTAAGCACCGAAATTGCGCCATTGTACTTTAAAGTGATCACTGACTTTAAACAACTGTGGTCTCGATCCATTTCAAGATTCAGATAAACTCATCACGGTCTGTACGACAACTTTTACTTCAATTTTTGAGAACGAATCAGATTAAAACAGTCTAATGAAGTGTTCAGATCGATGAAAAGGACGTGTCTTCTTTTGGAAATCACGCAGTGCCTAGCGACGACGACAGTGCTACACTATCCTACTGGATACCTCTTGAGGAAAAATATCTTCCTTGTTTGGATAGAAGATGGGTATGCATTTATTTTAATGGGACCATTTGTACAGCAAATTTGACATAATGAAATAGTTGTCCCCCACAGTTGGACACTTTGCAACGTCTTTAAAGATATAAATATTAGGAAACAGTTCAAAGCGATGGTTGAGAAATTCAAACACCAAACGTACGGATCGTCTGAAATATCTTAGCATGTTTTAAAGTTGATTAAAACTGAAGTTCCCATTTACGTTTTGATTATTACAGGAAGCATAAGTAAAGATGAATGCATTTCGCCAAGTGGAGAACAAGTGAAAAGAGCACTTCGTCAGGAAATTCGAACCTTGACCGACTTCGATAGGAGGCAATTCGAAGTGAGCACCACTGAGTGAAAAACACTTTACATCGCCTGTTGTTTGATCTCTTCCTATTTCCATGCAGGACATTATTAACTGGATGAAAGTCAATGATATCTACAACAGAATCAGTCGAGTCCATAAACGTACAGAAGTGCACGCCGGCCCCGCGTTTACAATTTGGCACCGGGAATTTTTGAAAAGGTTCTCTAGAAGAAGTTGATTACGATGTTGGGATAAAGAATCTTAAGATATTTGAGGATTACTTTATTATGAATTGGTTGTGAAAGACGAACAGGAAATCAGAAGCAATAGCTTATTAGACAAGAGAGAGATTGAAGAGAAGGGTTGAAAGTTTCAGTATGGAGCCGTTAGCAAGAAAATCTCTCCATGCTGCAGTTTTCACAGATTCGAGCTGGTTGTCCGCCATTTTTTGCCAAATCCCAATATGGGTGTTCCATATTGGGATAGCACACTTGATTATGAACTTCCTGAACCACTCGACTCATTGATATTTACTGACATTTTTTTTGGAGAAGTGAATGAAGACGTATTCGTTGTCTCCGAGCCGTACGCGAACTGGACAACGATGGAGGTGACGTTGTCAAATCAGACTACCTCCTCATTCCGAGATTTATTCTTTTTTTGTTAAGATTACGAAAAGAACACTAGAGCCATTTTCCAGGTTAACAAAACGAATCATGATTTGTTCGCATAAAGGTTTTATTAACTGAATACGGTAAAAATGATGGAGTTTCTAGGGGCTTCCGTGGATACTTCGTGGCTTCGGATTGAACGAGCGTGGCAAATTGCTGAATAATTCTCAAGTCGACTGGATTGTAAATAATCCTGATATCAACGTGGTGCTCGGTACCAGCGCCCTATTTTCGGTAAAGTTATGAGCACCAAAATTTCATGTACGGAGGGAACGGAAAAATACCTATTGGAAAGAAGAAATTCGATAATACTCGTTGAAGAAATCACAGCGACACGTACGACAAAATACTCGAGGGCTTAAGAATGCCAAAGAAACAACTGCCATCGGAGTGTAAGGAACATATTCGATGTAGACCAAAGGCAAGTTGCACGGGAAAATGAAGGAGAAGGCAGCAAAGCCGCAGAACGCTAACCAATGTCGGATAACCTTGTTTCGTGGAACACTTGAAGAGATTTCATTAAAAAATTGCACAGTGGAGCTCAAAAATCAGTGGTTTGTATTTTTTGAGGTTCATCGCAATTATCTTCCATGAAATATAGCGGGCAATTTTTATTAATTCGGAGGTAACACGCAATCGTCCTTTTCTCTGAGCACTTACACTTTCATCGAATCCACAGTGTTTGCTCAAATGTTAGACTGACATGGAAACATTCTCTTACAGGCGATGTAGCTCTTATCTTGTCAACATTCATCGGAACGACTGAGATGTGATCTTTGCATTTAGTGGTAATCAGCACATGATTAATCACCATTCGATAGATAAAAGTTACGTCAACAACAGTAGATTCTGCTACCACATAATCGATTCAGAATTGCACTATGAAAAAGACAGAGGATGAGACGATGCTGGAGCCTTCTCATGACAAAGTCTTTATCGGTATCTTACGATCCGTTTTTGAATCCGATTCCTTTTATCGCTCTACTCCAGTGAGAATTTGCACAGTTAAGGTGGCAACATGGAAGCACAGTATTCATCAATGAACGATGTCATCTTCCTATTCCATCACTCAATGATCGACTTCATCTTTGAATCGTGGTGACAGAACAAGCAGGTAGTACTTGGTGAAAATATGGACTCTCGTACGGAATCCTTTATTTATCACGTGCTGAGAAAAGAAAAGAATTTGAAATTTAATTAAAAAGTGTACTGAAAATTTCAGTGGTGAAAACACTCTCCAGTACCCGCACACAGTTTTGCTTTTGCTACCAAGCTATTTTAGCTGTATTTGATTGGATTTCAAAGATTCCCTTGGAGGTATATTTACGGAAGACATGATAAGTTGTTCTCCTTCAACCACCGAGAAACTTTTTTGTTTGCAAAGACCATACCTCACCCTATATACTTTATAAGTAAATATGGTAGGAAAATAGGTCGATTCAATCGGAATAGTCCACGTGCACTCAGACAATGTCATAAGCTAAGTAACTCTTGTGATTAATCGACTCTTGATTCCTGACATGAGGGAGCTTCATGGTGAGCGTGAAGGATTACATTAACGATAAAAAACTCTTGCCCAATGGCCAATTTAGCTCACTAGTTAGAGGTGTCCTGAAATATACATGGGTTCGATCCCGCACCTCAGGCTTACCAAATTTTCCATCCCTCCGGGGTCGGTAAGTGGGTAGCAGACCCGTCTAGAAGGAAAGCAGCACTGACTTGATACATCACTGGGCCACCGCGGGTCACCATATAGTCCATATATGGATTCAGTCACTTCTAACGATGCTCGATGAAATCGTATGCATGTGGAGCGTCGCTCAGGGGTTGGTCGACGGCGAGAGCTTTAACCTTTTTTTTAACTTTTCCTCACATATTTTTTCAACATCTTGTACATAAATGAGGTTTGTTTTTTGGAGGACATATTTGCAAAGATTGTAGAATCGAAGTGATCTGAGAGCGATTATCCCGCTAGCAATGAGAAATGTTTTCCACCATGGCACAACATCGACAGCGTTATGCCCATGCTGCATGTGAGCTCGTATCTCTTCTTCGAAATCACAGAAATTACCAAACAACTTTGATTAAGTTTTTTTTGCCCAAATTAAAGTGTGTAAAGTGTTTAGGTTGTGAAGAAAACCTTGGACCACATCTACTCTCAAACCTGTTTTATTTGAAAACGAAAACATCCATGTTTCACTTTCAGCTGTTGACCAATGGAGAAGCGTTATCGAATGCCTATACGGATGAGTTGTACGAGTTCGCTCCACGTCCAAGTTGTAGTTGTACGCATCCCGAATGTGGATCACAGTGAGTCGTTGATCCGTCACTTTTCGGCTTCTGAAAGGTATCGTCACACGTCTGGAGATTCCATTGTGCTAGAGTCTGTTCGTATTACAGAAGAGGGGGTTTTTCGCCCCGGATTTATATATTTTGCCATTTCAGAAAGAAATTGCGAAGCATCGCGGATTTACTTGATGGTAGTAAGCGGAAAACCAGCATAGTTGCGCTTCCTTGTCTTTACCATTGCTGTTACCGTCTTGCCACTCCATATCAGTTAAACTCGAGTGCCATTGGTTTTTTCGAAGTGTTCATATAACCAGTTGCTAGTTTTCCATGAGATAATCACTTTATCATTTTAGATACCTCTTCTGTCACGTGCCAGAAAACAGCGAAGCACAGTGTGTGGCGAAAGTCTCGGCGGAAAGTGTTCAGGATCCGAAGACACGAGAATTTGCTACGTTGGCGAGTGTGTACGAGGAAAGTGTGGGAAGCACACCAGCTAGCAAAAACTGCACCAACAAAGCGACGACATTTGGACGTTGTGAAGTCGGAATGAATCTTCTTCTTGTTGTCACTGCTATTGCTACGCTTGCGATACGCAGCAGAGAAGTGAAGTGAAGTACGAAAAGCGTTCCGACTTCTTGCCCACTCATTGTTTTCGTATGCACCTGTTCCTAGTAAGGAGTTTTCCATTAGTGGTGTAGAAGTAGGTTTTATAATGCATAGGTTGCGTCTTCGTTTTTGGACCGTCCTAGCACTCCCGATTAGCAGCTTTCACTTTCTCTGAGGGAATGTGTTGCTAGGAATGTTTTCCACCGTACTTTTCAGCGCTGCATTTTCCTAGACATTGAATGTCATAAACGAGAGAATGGGCGTGGCAAGGGGATGTTTGCTCAGATATACAGCAACAACTATTTGATAAATCACTTCAAAACATTGCTAATGTTTGACTTTTATTAACTATTATTCTTTTTTTTTTCATGGTAGCGTGTCATTTGAAATACAATTACAAGGGTGCTGAAACGTGAGCAAAACTCGAAACCGATTCCGAGTTCGACTAATTAACTTTCAGTGCCGATTAGTGCTCCACAAATGATTCCCGTTATCGGGTGATTGCTAATAGCACCATTAGGTAAAATATTCCCTGAGAGAAATGGAAAACAGGGGTCTCGCTTGGTGCTGTGAATAACAGGTGACCTTTCAGAAAAGATAATCGCGGGATCGAAAGCCACATGAGGTTCGGAATTTTGCTCATATCTCAGCATCCTTCAGTTTGTATTTCATCTCGTAATAGTTTTGCAAACTGAATTCCATTAACCTGGACATGAATAATCAATGGTTTATTTCATTGACAAGGCAGAGGGAAGTTGTTGCAAAATTTTTTTCCACTAATTTTTCGATGGCTCCAATTTCTCCTTCACTCTGACCTGGTGCTTTATTCGAATGATGCTCCGAGATTCGAATCACTGTTGCTCAGAAGAAGGCTGAGACACCGAAAAGCTGGCTGAACAAATTCTTGTAAGGAGCTCGTGTTAGCTAACGAATGAGGTAACAGATCAAGCAATAACCATAAAAACACAAAGATTCGATTATGAATACAATTTCATGATATCTCATGGTACTTATGTTAACTATAAATAGCACTTCTACTGATTCCTTATTGATCTTGTTTTTCGTCTGTTGTTCTAATGTGCAGTCTACGTTCTGTACAGTATGAAGTTCAAATTGCAGGACGAGACTTTAGTCAGCAAAGGTTGGCAAGTTTTCAGTTCGAAATTTATCCTCATAGAGAGTACCACTCATGGTCATAAGTATTTAGAGAAGTACAAGCACAGCGATGTTGAGGTATAAGCAAAACTAGAGACCTCTGGTGTGTCTCGAACTTGCGATTACCCTGACTGGTGACCATCTACCACACCAAGCGAAGCTCACCTGAAATCTCGACTTTTGCTCATCATTAGCATCCTTGCTATGATGTGATGAGCAAAAGTACGTCACATCATACCCTGCCTTGAAAAAATGAGTAGGGAGCAATTAAAAAGATGAAGCTTGTATTTAAAGGAGTATTCTCACAAATATGTTATTGTAAAACTCTTGCTCGACCCAACATTCGAGCAGCCATTTCCAAGATCTTCACGTAAAAAAGTTGGCAAACTTGTCCTAAGCGGAGAAGAAGGATATAAATTTGTCGTTCTAACCCGAGATGTATCATGTAGTGTGAGCGTGTTTTGGGACGGGACAAAGTGGGGAGCCGAGAACCTGTCCAACACAAGTATTATGTTAGACGAGGTCCCTCGCATAGTTGCTTTCTATACTAACTAATTCAGTCGTTGGAAAGAGTTTGCGCCATGGAGAGCATGGCCGGTGAAGAGGCACATAAATGGATCCATTCGAAAAATGGAATTCGACGTTTACAGGGAGCTGTTCGCTGTGACAAAACAATAAATCCTCTTGGAGATGTTGCAGAGTGGCTGGGTTTTTCAACGCTTAACAGATTTTGTCTTTCGGAACAGTTATCAGGACTAATTACAACGGCCCTTTAATGACCGCTTAAATGTTGTGCTTGAAAGCATTTGTTTCACAGTCTACAGTCTACAGCCTGTCTATAAATTACAAGGACATGTCATGAATCGTAAATAGAACAAACTAGAACTTTCATTTCTTGCTCTCAATCAGTAATCGTCGTGTACAGCTTTAAATTCAAACAATTATCTGTTTTCCTGCTAAGGACATGTGAAACTGTTATTATTATAATATTATTGTTTATTCACAGCGGATGATGTTTCGGCGGATTTCGTCTTCTTCAGAGCTTGGAAAGATCAAGTCAACTGCAATCTAGTAAGGCAAACATCTCCATAACTTCAACAGAAAATCCACGATACCCAATTGTCAATCGCGTTGGACATAGTTTTTTCTCACACTCACCGTTTTCTATGAGTGTTCCACTGAGTGTTCCTCTTAGTTACTTGGATACTTGGACGGTCCGTCTTCAGGAGTTGTGCTGACCCCAGCACATATGCCATTCGTTCCTTTCTGTCGCAGAATTGTCCATGGTGGTGGTCTTGTTCGAGCATGATAGCGCGTGCGAGTCTCACACCGTGATCTGTAAAACCACCGCAGCTGCGGGTACAGCTGATTAACGTTGTTTACGAACACGTCCGTCCAACATGTCCAAGATGTTTGCATTCTCTTGGAGTCCACTCTACTGTTCTTTTCGTCCATCTGTCCTCTGCTCTTCTCATTATGTAACCGGTCCAACTATGCTTCGCTATCGATGTATATTACAGGGATGTGATTGTTCGGTATATATCGATGTATAGGGATGCGCCATGCATTCGACTTCATTAAGTATCGCTGGAGGTGATTGAATGCCTGTGCCGCAATGGCGCCTCCAACCAATGCGCCACACGCGCCATAGATTTATCGTACTGAAACTTAATCTAAAAACTGTTTACGGTCATTGCTGTTCTAGTCGACTGTTCTTTGAATCCTGTTGATGGTAACTTGGTTGAAGAGCTTTTACGCAGTACCTCAAGCCAACTACGCGGTAGTTGCTGATGTTGTGCTGATCTCGGTTCTTGTATAGCACACTTTCTTAAGGCATTCTGATTCAATCCCGCAGGGATCAGGTGCTTTGCGATTCGTATCCGACGTGATAGCATATGAGGTTTTAGGGAGTACGTGTGGAACAATGTCATTCAACTTCCCATTGATGGTAGGAAGATAAGAGATTGCACTATCGAAGAGGTAGAGGTGGAAGACGATAATGTCCCCTATAGTCCTCGAAAAGAGGATGCGGATGAGGATGT